AGTATGGAAGTTTTGTTATTGTTTTGTGCGTGCGTGAAATGTACTGGCTACAGTTCCAAAGTGAATGCTACCAGCTACTATAAAACATCTATGAAACTTGGCATCTTCTGAATGTTGAATGGGAAACCAAATAACTTAGATCAATAAAAGTTAATAATATGAGTACCATGGGTCACAGAGGTAGAGACTGTACCTCCTGATTAGCCCTTCTAGGAACTATCAGAAATGAATTAACACTCAATTAAATAAGCTCTTCATTTTTATCTACTTTAAAGGAAGGTGAAATCTCATATGGCATTCCAGAGGGTGCCTTTCATATACATTGGCATCAGATGTAAAGGCTATTTTAGTGCAACATTATACAACAGTTGAGATTTTAAAAAAATACAAGAAACACAAAGTTATGATTGCACAGCAACTATGACTTAACCCCCTCAGGCTTCATCCTGCAAGGTGCTGAGCTCTCATCAAAAGGAAGCAAAGCATTTTAGTACATATGTAATTCCATTTATTTCAGTGTGTCTATTTGTGATCTTAAAGTTAAGTATGTGCTTAAGCATCTCTCTGAATTAAGAACAAATCACTCACTCAGCATGTCAAAGAACTGAAACCCTTAGGAATTATAGTAGAACTCTCAGGCCTATTTATAGGTAAGATTGCAGTGCAGTTTCCTTTCTAACCCCATTTGCAGTCATTTAGAGCAGGGGTTCCCAAACTTTTTGACACAGGGACCAGCAAATCCATTCACGAGCTTTTGGAGGACCAGTAACATTAATTTGCATATTCATCAAGCAAATGATGAATATGCAAATAAGTTGTTTCTGGTCCTCCCAAAGCCCCCAGTGCCAGCTTTAGCAAAGCTTTTGATATGGTCACCCACAATATTCTTGCCAGCAAGCTAAGGGAATATGGATTGGATAAATGGACTGTAAGATGGATAGAAAGTTAGCTAGCTCAGTGTTTCCCAAACTTTTTACTTTAGTTGGAACCCGTTTTTTTCAGTACTGTTTTCTGCAGCCCAAAAATATAAACACATATAAAAAGGCAGAGAAGATTCTGCAACAAAATCGTAGAAACGTCCCAATTGGAGACAAAATTCATCTGAAGTTTAAGTTCTGATATTGTTATTAGAGTTAGCAGTGAAATCAAACTCCAGGAAGAAGGTAAATTCTGGCTTTACACAGTACACATGTACACGGTTTGGAACACGGAGAGAATTCCTCTTATGCTCTGGATTGCACCCAAGAGAAGCAGTGCTGGTGGGTGAAAAGACAACATATGGCAAGTGGCTGTTGATGAAATTATTCAGCTACATATCTTAGAAAAAACATTTAAAAAATGTGTACCTAAGGTTGAAGACAAATTGTGATATGACACTATCACTCGAGTCTTGTTTCTGAGACCACACACCCGTAAAGGGACAAAGTTAAAGAAAACACATACAACTTTACCAGGGCATTTCATGACCTTGGAAACTGCGTGACTGTGTGGTTCGCTTAACAAACAACACCAATAAACAAAACAATACTTATTATGTACACAGTGCTCTAAGGGCCTGATCTAATGCACAATGAAACCAATGAGAGTCTTGCCGGAGCTAAGATTATAACTCAGAACTTCTTGACTACCCTGTGCTCATTTCTTCTCTAGACATTCTGGTACTTGCACTTAGGCAGATTCTGACATTACTCTATAGGTGTTCAATCTTGTCTTAGTATACTATTAATATTTACTGATTATAGTCCACTTGTGACCAGAATCAAAGTCTGATTGTTCTAGGTAATGTATAAACACATACACAGATGCATTCTCTGCCCCAAAGAGCTTACATTCTTAGCCTCTGAGCATACAAAAATCTAGACATATGAGTAGCTTTTTGGCAGAGGAGAGAAGAGGAGTTAAGACAAGTTACTTGTGAGGGTAACAAACAATAGGAGAGAAAGAAGGGAAAGGGAAAGGACAAGGGTATCAGCAGTAAGATTGCATGTCTAAACAACTAGCAAGTGCACTGTTTGGTGGTCCCAAATTATTATTACATTACATTATATGAATTCTATATGTCAAATGTGTATGAAAAATCTCTACTGGCTCTCCTCCTAACCATGATCACTTGGGAATATCCTGTAGGCTTCATGGCAAAAATAGATCATTAGGGAACAAATGAAGCAAGAAGGAATATTGGCTTTACAGGTCATTTCAGGGAGGATGTTCAGGATCAAGAGATGGTATGGACATATGCATGGTATTGATAGGTGCACAAGGCAGCACCTTTAGTTGCTTTGTGAAGTATCACTTGCATTTCCCATCTCTAATACATGTATATTCTCAGCCATAAAGAGGCATTTAGTTTCCTTTTCATGACAGAGAGAGCAAGAGAGAGGTTCCAGGATCATTAGAGTGTATCCAACTTTGTCTGTAAAGTTCAAGTGATGTTTTTCTATTCAACCTTTGGGATTATTCTAACCATCAAAAGCAATGTGTGAGCGACTGCTCCCAAACTGGCACAATTTATCAATAGTCCATTGACAAAGCAAACTGGTCCATCCAACATCACCAGCTGCATTCTGCTGGCACCCTCCGAACTTGTCTTCAAAGAACAACCAAAACAAAATTCCTAATGGCTATTAAGAGAAATAGCATCTGGGTTTCAGAAAACAGCTAATATAAAATACCTCCAATTAAAAAAAACGAGTCACTCCTATTATGCTTGATTAATTAGAGTGATGTTTAATAATTCTCCTTGTTAATATTTGGTCACTTTGCCATAACTAAAACATAGTTAGGGCAGGCAATCCGTGAGCAATTACAGGGTAGGAAACAAATCCAGTTTCAATTATCAAGGTCTTAGTTTCTGAATTAAAAATGCCTGGAAATCTGGAATTACAACATACTGGGGAGGACGGAAGGGGAACAGCCATAATGTTATGATTATGAAGGGACTGACTATTACACTGGTTATGGTCTGTATCTTGCTATATTTATTCCAAGAACACTGTGAGACTGACACACCAGTGATTGTTCTGAAGCCCAGTCTTTTGTAAACCATAAGGTTGGGAAACAAATGCCACACACCACTGGAGAGCTTGGGTTCTCCATTATCCATTGAAATACAGTATTCAGCTCTTTTCCTGACAAGTCTTGAGGGATCTGACCTAAACTTGAGTATCATCATCCTCTCACTCCATGAGTCTTTCTAGGGGACTGATCCAAAAGCAATTGAAGTCAATAAGAGAGTTTTTCCACTGATTTTACTGGGCTTTGGATCAGCATTCAGCACTACGAATTGAAAAACAACAACACTGCTTTGTGAAAGCAGCCAGCTTCTCAGCTTCTAACCATGTAAATCATTAATCTATGATTCCCACAGTTCATGAGCTATCAGTTTTATGTTGAAATCCGAGTGTGTATGTTTTGTGGGAGGATAACACTGGTACAGGGGGTAAGAGATGGAAAGCGGAACAATGCAATTCTAAAATGTAATCATCATTGGATAGGGTGAGAATAATACATATGATTTTAGGACCCAGGAATTTTCCCAGCATTAGTGCTCAGTGATTTTTTAATAACTATTACAGTCATTGTGCAATAAAACAAACAAACATATGATTTTGTTGTCTTGCATAAACACTAGAATTACTAACTTCCTAACTTCTATGACAGCTGAAGCACAATAAACTTAAAATTTTACCACCTGGTGAATCAACATGAATTAAGGCAGATAGATTTTAATAAGCTACAAAGTTGCACAGTGCGTGTATAGAAGCAGTAAACCTGAGAACACACACAGTAAGCACTTTCCAGCAATATAGTTCTACGATTAAAGCAAAGGTCTCTTTAGGGTTGCAACATATCCTAAGTTGTGAAATAGGGACAATTTGTTAAAACGACAAATGAAAACAGCTTACCTAATCCTTTTGGGAGATCCTACCAATTAAGAGAAAATAGTATTTTTAAAAGAAAAACCCACCTTCAAATAGAAAAAAGAGATATGGAACAAGATTTACACTGCATATGTATGCAACTAAGACAAGCACCATGACAGACTAAATAAAATGATAAGGTTGTTACAGAAGGCCTCCAACTTGTGACGTGATTGGTTCCGGGGGAAGCGTCGCGAGTTGGGGGCGTCATAACTCGAACTCTTATTTACGATAGGCACTGTGCACCATCGTAAATGGGGGCCGAGGACATAAGTCGGGGTTTTTTGGCCCCTTCTGCACTTACAAAAATGGTTGTAAGGACGAGGGGGGTCAGAACTTGGGTGCCTCCAGAACTTACTGTGCAGTTTACTTAATTATGTAAATTGGAAATTTAAATAAGTCCTGTTTGAAGACTGCATGTAAATATTTGAGCTCTGTTTGGCTGATTTGTATTTTAAAACAAGTACCCACACACACGCACTTGAGCATTGCTTGGGACCTTAATTAATTTTTGTTTTTCTTCATTTAAATCATTGCTTTGAAGTGGAGCTGGATGAGGGATTCAGTATGCAGGCTTCCCTGGGGAGAAAGGAGTACCCCAGCCCCCTCTCACTGCAGCAGCTTGAGGCTAGGTGAGAAGTGCTTCTCCATGGCTGCTGTAGCTCCAGAGGGCACATCCAGGGGAGGGGTTCGTGTCCCACCGCTGGAGCAGGTCCAGGTTCGTCCACCCCTGCACTCCCCAGCCAGAATGAGGAATGGAGCAAACTGTGCACTTTCCCTTGTTCCCTGATGCAGGGGAACAGCCAACAATTTTCCTGTACAAATCGAGGAGGTGGGGAACTTTACCCTCACCCCCCACAACCAAACCTTTACCTTGCTTTAAGTTATCATGAGAGGAAGTTGCATACCAAATCTGGTGATTCTAGCACTTACCATTTAGGAAGCACTCTTGAACAGACAGTCAGTCAGACAGAGGGACTCGCTCACTCACACACAAACTCTCTCAAAGATATGGTAGACAGAGACAGAGAACCATACTGTATTTTCAGGAAGCCATAATTTTCAAAAATGAAAACTTACACTGTTCTCTCATTCTTTTAAGCTGTTCCATGAAATGTACAAATTTTTCATTTCTTCGCAGATCTGAGTCACTGTTTTTGCTTTCCAATGTTGTGAATTTTTTTTTTACTAAATCTTTTAGATCTGGTATATCCTCTGGTTTGTCTTGTTTTATCTGAAAAGAAAAATAAATGCAACTTTGTTATTCACTATAACATAGTCCTCTCAACCCAAAGCAAAGAGAGAAGGTGCAATATTATAACTTAACAAAATTTTCTTCAGTCTCCAATTAGATCAAAGGCTAAAACAATCTGGCGTTATTTTATATAGCCAGTGGTCACCATTAAAATCTATACAATTAATGAACAGAAACACTTACTTGTGTTGCTGTACAGGCAGCATTCCTTCTACTCATAAGAGAGAAAACTGCACACTAGGGATGTGAAAGATTAATCGGTTAACCGGTAAGCATCACCCTTACCCTTAATGAGCGAGGGCTAGAGCAGCTCCCTACTCACCATGGGCAGGGGACTACTCCAGCCCCTCTGGGTGTGCCATGGACAGGGGTACTCCAATCTGGCTGCAGTGGCCCCTATCCACAATGAGGAGACTGCAGTGGGGAGACCGCTCCACCCCAGCCACAGTGGGTAGGGCTGTTCCAGTGACTCTCCCTCTTTAATCGGATAACTGGTTAAACATTACATTTATCCGGTTAACCGATTAAATGGAACTTTTCATCCCTACTGCATACATCATACTACAATATAACAACTCTCAGTGTAAAGATTTTGATGGCACCCAGTGTAGTATTGCGTGCATACGGATCTTATTACTACTACCTAGTTTTTCTATAGCACTTTTCCTCAGCAGATCTTCAAACAATTCACAAATAAAATATCTTTATCCCCATTTTACAGATGCAGAATCTGAGAAACAGGGAAAGGGGCTTACTCCGAGGACTCTCAATAAGCCAGAATTAGAAATGGAATCCAAGTCGACTGAGTGCTAGTTTTCTGTCTACTAGGCTACACTTCAGATATGAAAAGTTTACCACAAATAAGTCCCTATCCAAAGAACTGGTTGGAAAATTTCACCAAAAATGAAAATTCTACAAAAAACAAAGATAAAACTTCATGACAATTTTTGCATATGTTGTTTTCCTCTCATTTTCCACCCAGGTCTGCTGTTGAGCTGATAATCTCTATGCATAAATGGGCACAGTATCAGGCAAAATAAGCTAGTATGTACAGAAATACAGCTTTTTACGGATTTGCAGAGCACCAAGAGTGAGCAATGTGCTGTACAGGCTGGTAGAGTCATGATACTTACCCTTCAGAGTATTTGCACGTGAGCACGACAGAATAGAATTTTGGAGGCTGAAAGTGAGGGCACTCACTATACCTGGAGGGAGAGGCATACTGTTCTGACCATATGCAGAGCATTTTGAGAATCCAAAAACAAGACAGATTATTTTGCTTTCATTTTTTAAATACTATCCCCTCCAATCACAAACAAGGACAGACAGACTGAAAGGTTGGAAATGAAAGAGGGAGAGAGATAACATTTTTGCTTGTGCCAACCGTACTCTACCTTCAATGCTAGACCTGCTAAAGCAAAACACCCCCAGGCTGCAAAAGAGAAAACAGGGGCCTATCAAGGAAGGTTACTGGGTGCATCAGCAGGCCAAGCCATTACACCGTATCCCCTCCTGGTTCCAAGAGGTACAAAGAGGCTAAAGGCCACCATTGCAAGACCTGAAAAATTTCTGTGCAGCAGCAGGCTCTCATGTGGATGCAGGCTGTGTGAAAATATTCAAAAGGCTACACAGCCCCAGAGAAATTTGGCCATCCATGAAGGCAGGGCAAATTCAACCATCAAAACAGCAGGCCTGTCAAGAGCAAAATCCGGTGTGGACTGAGAGAGTGCAAGGAGGTACTGGCTGTCACTCATGGCAATGGACCAAACAGAGAAATAGTAGAAAACCATGTAATTTTAAAGTCCGAAAATACTTGCAAGAAAGTCATGACGGCAGTTGTACATGGTGACCAGCCATAATAACTACCAAGGGAGTCTACAGAGGGATAAAAACCCACATCTGGCCCAAGCTACAGGCACAGCCCAAGCCCAAAAGTCTACACAGAAGATTTTCAACCTTGGAGCTCCATTGTTCTGCGCACAGTTACAGAAAGCATGGCCTTCAAAAACTGTAAGCACAAGAAAACAGCTACCAAGTTGAAACACATGTAAAAGCCAGTACAATAGGCTACCCTAATTCAGACCGTGTATGCTTCACTCATATGCCGCTCTACAACAACTTCACAAGACTGCTATCACAGCCTTGTTGGATATGTAACTGATGGATGCGTGCCTGCATCCTTGAGTCATCTCCTAAGAGCAGCCAATCACTAGGACCCACACCCTGGCAATAATGATAGTACATTGGCTAAATAACATATGTAATAACTGCAGCTGCTTCTGCCAGATACAGTCATGCAGACCACAGGCCGAGCCCACATTTGTGCTCCCAAAGTTGCTGAGGCTCACGCAAGGAGCAAGAATAAAGCCTCAAACTGCTATGTGCCACAGAGGCAATGTTAACCACTCTACAGGAGCTCACGACACACACCAAGGCAGTTCTCACAGAAGCAAGCCAGAAGTAAGGCACTCAGGACCATGCTATTCACTTTCTGATCCGCTGTGACTCATGTGAGTTGAGCACACAGCTTTACTCTCAGAGCTCTGTCAGTCTATTTTCCTTAATCAATTCACAAGAACCACAAGTGAGATGTGTGACATAGTCAAATGCAGTCATGATAGTATGACAGTACCCATCTCACCATACAGAGAATAGCCTCTTCCCGCAGTAGAGGCACTTCAGACTTGGCATTCAACATGGGCATGACATTCATGTGAGCAAGCAAACCATAGAAACCAAGAGCCTGAACTTGCATCAGTACAATACCAAGGACTAGCATACATACTAAGTCTAAGAAATTGCATTTGGATCGCCCCCAGCAAGCATGGACCTTGTAGCCGACAGGGATAAAAGACCACAGAATTAGCATGTATAAAGCACAGGAGAGAAAGGTGGTCCCAAAAGGGGAGGGGAGGAAAGGAGGTGGGCCAGCACCACAGAAGCTCAAACCGTGGCTCCTTCCCTCAAGGCCCTGCTCATGCACCACCTCTTTCTCCAAACACTGCTCCCTCCTCTCTGCCCCATCATTCGCCCTTACAGCCAGTAAAAAGTGGGAGACTATAGCCACCTGGTCCCCCTGATTCAAAACTTTTATCAGCCATAGGAGGACAACAGCTCAGTTCTCTTACCTGGTCAAAACCACACTCTGGTAAATCTAACAAACCAGCAAGAACTAAGCAGCTACTTTCTAAAGAGAACGTGAGCAATTTTAAAGATCTTCAAGAGCAACAAAATAATTCAACTCACAGCATTTCATGGCTGTGATAGATTAACTTGTGCTGTGGGCTGAAATCACCATACTAGCAGGACATACATGGCTGGGAAAAGACAGGTGCTCAGATGACATACAACATATACACCTGGGATCAGGGGCCTCGCTTGCAGTAGAACCCCTCTCCTGCCAACACAATGAGCGCTGCTGAGCCTGAAGGAACCTGCCTGGTTGAATGCACTCCCTGACAAGCTGAAGGTGTCAGCAGGCTGATACTTAAAACAAGGTAGCAGCAGCAGTTCAGTGATTGCTTAATGCATTTCTAACCTGCTGCTGTGCTTGGTCCTGTGCCTACCTCTACCTGCCAGCTTCTTCCAGTTTTTTTAGTCCTGGTTCAGAACTTGGACTCTGCCTTCTGAATTTGACTCCAGTTAACTCTTTGGCTTAGGCTTCGGTTTCTTCCACCTACCTCTTGCCCTCTGCTTTACCTTCTGACTGTATCTCTGGCCACACCTTCATCGTGGGCTTTGTGTTCTGACACCCAGCTATAACCCCTGACTTTGCTGCTGGTCTTCCCTCATTTGGATTCCGCTCTAACTGGTAGGAGGGACTCTTGCTCCAATCACTAGATCAGACTGCCAGTGGCTGACACCTAGAAGGCCAGATTAAACAGACATCGAAAGGATAGATGATAGTTCACATATCAGAAAGGTGAAATTTAAGTTCCGTTCATTGTCAAAGGGAGGGAGCTCCATCTCATCACTTGAGTATCTGTTGAACACAATGTTTTATTATTATACGATAGAATTCCATTTATCCAGGTATCATCTGGCCCCTGTATTACATGAACCACCAGACACTCAGGGCTGACAGCAGTCGGGGCTTGGGAAGTGAGCCACGGGTGGTCAGCCTCAGGCAGCTGGTGGTTCATTAGTACAGAAAGACCGATAATGGAAGCTTGGATAAACCGGGTTCTCGCGCGCACGCGCGTGTGTGTAAGTGTTTGCAAAATGTAAAAATTAAACATTCTCTGTAAAAATACAAATTCTATGTTTTTCCTGACAAAAGGATTTTTAGGCCTTGTAAAGTCAACAGGTTTGCTGTGCACAAGCAGTTTCTCTCGTGATGCTTATGTTGTCCCATGAAACAGGTGGAAAGAGCTGTAATACAGAGAAACACAAAACTATTTAATCTTGACATTGGTCTCAATTCACCTTGGTAGGACAAGACTGCAATAGAACATATATTGTACCAGCAGTACACAACTGTAAATACGTTCTGGTTCATGGTAGTACTCCCAACCCAGTTACTGGGATGTAAGGTGCCAAAAGCTATCCACACAACAAAAAGAAGAATGAGGACAACATGTACACTGGAGATGTCAAAGCAACACCATCAGAACCAATCTGTGATGTATTTGCTTCTTAGTCTGTGCAGCTTGACAGATAAATGCCCCCAGACAAACCTAGAGCCACCAACATCTTGTTAATGTTGGTAGAAGTTACTTTGCATAGGAACCACGCAAAGTATGCTTGTAGTAATGCTGTCAGCCAAGAACAGCATGAGGAGAGATTAATAGGATAGGATTTTTCAGCTTGGAAACGAGACATCTAAAAGGGAACATGATAGAGGTCTATAAAATCATAAAATAGTTTGGAGAAAGCATATGAGGAAGTGTTTACTCTCTCTCATGACACAAGAACTAGGGGTCATCAAATGAAATGATTAGGCAGAAGGTTTAAAAGAAACAAAAGGAAATATTTCTTCA